TAAAACCTTACTAAAACAGCAGAACGCCCAGCTAGGGATTGGAACCTGGCCTACATGCTCCGCATAATCATACATGATACCAACTGAGCTAATAGTGGGATACCACTGGACATCTATACTCAGAGGCTCTTCTCATGCGGTATTTCCTCGGGAGGGGCAGCATTTTAGCTGTGAAAAGGACCGCCTGTCCAAGACAATCACCTGTACAAATGACCACTTATCACTTCTCCCTATGTGTCCAAGAAAATCACCAATGTAGGATGACTAGTTTTCTACCCAACAATGAATGATGGTCTTAGGCAGGAACTATTTACCCTTATCATTGCCTCCCTTCACGGACTGATGGGTGAGATCCACAACATTTTCGTCGTCACCATGGTAACTGGCATCTGTTGACGAATGAAGAATGATAGCGTGATAAAACAAGCACACGGCATGTGTATTGATAATGATTGTATTATATCAGCCACGAACAAACCATATTGTGCACTGGTGACTGAATGGCACCAACAGGGTTAAGATCCCCGGAAGAAATAGCAGATGGGAAACGACGAAGACGAAAACGAAGTGGGCAATAGTAAAAAGTTGTTTCTTGTTCTCAATCCGGCGTCGTACACAGAAAACCTGAGTTCGATTCCCGTGTTGGGACAATTTTCTAGAATATCTCTGTCTTTCTGCTGGGACGTTGTATCCCACTCATCCCAGGTTGGCCCTGGCAGACAGGGTCGTAGATCACCTCTCAAATGATCTAAATTGTGTCTATATGGGAGTAAAATCACTTACATTTAAAGAAAATTGTCGTGGTCTATCTTTCCTCTTTTCCTTTCTGTCATTTTCGTTGATTTCCGGTCCAGTCGAGAAGCTCGCATTCAAAACGTGTCTATGATGATTGTAAAAATCATATTAATGAACAAAGTAAAAATGTGGCAGTTTTCAAGGGAAAGAACGAGGTGAACACAAGCGCCCATCCCAAAGTAGAGAAGTAGAAATGCACAGTCATGCATGAAATAGTTGTGGAGAAACAACAATAGCAACAACAACAAGAACAACAGAAACAACAACAACAACAACAACAACAGCAACAACAACAAAAACAACAACAAAACAACAAAAACAACAACAAAACAACAAAAACAACAAAACCAACAACAAGATGGATTAGTATAAGAAGCTAGTCGCATAAAAGAGCCCAGAACGAGACGAAGCTAAATACTGTCTAACCATGTGACGTCTGTGCTTTCATCAGAGTGAATATAACGGACCGCATATGTACCAATACATGGTCTCTTTGTGTTTACGAATTTTAGAAACATGTAGAAGTCGCATTCTAGCGTTATGCAAAGTTTCTAGAGCACATGTAAACGTGAGGGTCAATAATAAGGATCACAAAAGAAGTGGACCAAATGTAGGGTTAAAAACATCTAACAGGGTGTCGGCGATGACAGACAAGATATGCCGGGACCATAGACCTGTATTACGACACCCTAGATAGAGCACTGTGACGTAATTCCAGGTCAATATGAAGAGCACCATTTGGCTCAGTTCGGAGCCAAATGAAGGACAAGCGTGTGCTCCCGCTTGACTAAAATGGCAGTTTTTCCCCTTTCATTTGGACATCCACGGAGACCACTTCAAAGTCTTTGTAGAAAGCTAAGGACAGCGGCCATGACAGTGCTCGGTCTAGGGCATTATAATTCAAGCCGTAACTGACCTTTCTCGCAGGTACGGACCCGTAGAGTATCTAGGTCCCCTATATATCGCTGTAATGTCTGGTCTCCCTCTAGAAAACAGCCAGCCGACTGTAGGGCATGCTCAGCGCAGCCTATGCTGAGCTGCATGAACCTGGAAGTACACAAACACAATATGATGAGTCAATATAAACTTCGAACCCCCCCCC